CAGCTCGGCCGCGGCCCAGTTGCGGCGGCCCAGCCCTGGCGCTTTCTGATTGGCTCAGACTTGGCCCCTCGCACTTTCGCTTCCGGGTGAGAGGTGCTTGGTCGCCCCGGCAACCGAGTCGCCCTCTGCGCTAGGTTCCCCTGTACGCCGCGGAGCTGGCGACTCAGCAGGACTCGCTGAGTCCAGAAAATGTCTCCAGCACCTCTCTGCCAAGTGAGTGGCCCCCGTCCCGACGCCCGAGCGCGGAAGGGCGCCTTAAATTAGAACTCGCCTTGGTCCAGAGCTCAGCCCCGGGAACCCCGCTACCGGTGTATACCTTTCCTGAGCGTCCACCCTGGGGCGGGGGCGGGGCCGGGGGTCAGGAGCCAGGGGTTCCAGCTCTGATTCCGCGGTGGGTTTGCTGTTGTGCCGACCTCCTTGGGTTTCAGTTTCCTCTGCGCTGCCGGACGACCTCAGTCTCTTAGGTCCTTCTCTTAGCTCTAACATTCCAAGGTTTCGAATGTGGAACCATTTAAGAGCAATTGAAAACAGGTCGGTTTCACGTATGATAAAGTAAAATGCTCTATTTAACGATTGCTTTCCAAGTGCCATTCATTCACTGCAGTTCCTGCTAGTTCTAATAACTGAGCTGGACACGAGGGCGAGAAGAGAAATGTGACTAATCCGTGATCCCTGACCTAAACGACCTGCTGTAGGGATGGGGATTCTGGCACAGAAGCGTTGCTTTAATAGGGCCCTACGTGCTCTGGGCGGGCTAGGCCCAGAGTGTTGTGGGGGCTCCTAGAGGAATGGGGGGGGTGGGGGGTGGTGAGGGGAGGTAAGAAAGGTTTTGCTGTTTTTCGTTGTTCCTCTTTCTGGGGAAAATTTTCAACCTTGTATTCCAGTTCACTAATTTACTTTTCAATTGCATCTTTGCTGTTCAGCCCTTCAAAGGAGTTTTATTTCATTAATTATGTATTTTCTAGACTGCTAGTTTGTTGTTTTTCATAACCACCAGCTCCTGTCTCAAGGATGTTACCGTATTTTGAACTCTTCTACCTATTGTGTTATTAACTCTGTTTCTTCAGAGGGTATGAGCCTCTAGCTTTTCTCAACTGGCACCTAAATTAATTTTTAAATTAAAAATATCAATTCTCTTGCCTCACCCATAGAGACTCTGATTCAGTGACATAGGGTAGAGCCTAGGAACTTGCATGGTCCATACTTTGGGTAACATCCTAGTAGACTCTATTGTCCTAGAAGTTTGAGTTTATTTATTTTAACGTATGCTTTCTTAAGTTTTTAATGTTTTTAGACCACTAAATGTCCCAGTGTTCTGAGGCATAGGTTCACTCCAGCCCTTGACTTCTTCCTTCCTTTTTTACCTGGTCTCCATTCCAATCTTATTCTTTTTGCTCACCCCCACACTCACCCCTCCTCATTTACTATCTTTATTTTCTTTTTCCTCCTTCTGCCAAGTCAGAGATTCCTTACTTTACCTTACCTCTGAGACAATCAATAGGTCATATAGGCTAACCAAGAAAAATAGAAACGTATGTCTGTATAAAAATTTACATGACTCTCCATAGCAGCATTATTGATAGCTGCCCAAACTGGAAACAGCCCAGCTGTCCATTAACTGATGAATGATAAACAGAATCTGTTCTTTCTGTACATGGACTATTATTCAGCAATAAAAAGAGATGAAGTCCTAATGCATGCTGTATCATGGTTGAACCTTGAAAACATTATGCTAAGGATTACATATTGTATGATTTCATATATATATATGAAATGTCCACAATACGAAAATCCATACAGAAAGTAGATTATTGGTTGCCAGGGATTATTGCTGGGGGTGGGGTTGCGTGGGAGCGGGGAATTAAGGGAATGGAAAATAGCTGAGAATGGGCAAATGATTCTTTTTGGGGTGATTAAAATATTCTAAAGTTAGATTGTAATAGCTACACAACTCTGAATATTCTAACTATTGAATTGTGTAAAAGGGTATGTTTTGTAAATTATATTTTAATAAAGCTGTTATAACGAACAAATAAGTAAAAATAGATCATCTAGACAAAATTATTTCCCCAGGACCCTACACTGGATAATGGAATGTCAAGTAATCATGACATGCTTGTGATCATGTGAAGTGAATCTATTTGGTTAGCTCTTAAAGTGCATTTGTTATAGGTATTATGACATAAAAAATAAGTTTATGTGACTTTTCCTAAATCTTTTAAAACAGCTGAAGAAGTATATAAGATAAACTTTATATTTCCAAATGGAGACAAGTATGGTAAGCATACATTTCAATTACTTTTTCTATACAGACTTAAATGAAATAGCTTGAGTGAAAAAATGAGACTCACATTTTATAAAACTACTATTGGAATGTTAACTCAATTTAATAAAGTAACGTAGATGAAAAGATTTTAAATCTGAATTCTAATGTTAAGTCTAGGCAGTATGCCTTGGTAACCTATGGGATCTGTCTGTCTTCCTGGTCATTGGGTCTTAATGACTATAAGTCCTTGTAAGCTCCTTATCTCTGGTCTCATTTGTTTCAGTGCTAGGGAGCCAAAGAGACCCATACGTACAGTTGTGATTAGGCCTAAATATAAATACTTAAAAAATTATTATTTATCTGTTTGTTTTTGAATATTTTTTTTTAATCCTCACCAGAAGGTATTTTTCCACTGGTTTTTAGAGAGAGTAGAAGAGAGAGGGAAAGACAGAAATATCAATGTGAGAGAAACATCGATTGGTTGCCTCCTGCACTTTCCCTGGAGCCTGCAACTGAGGTACATGCCCTTGACTGGAATCGAACCCAGAACCCTTCAGTCTGCAGGCTGATGCTCTATCCACTGAGCCAAATTGGCTGGGGCTATAAATACTTTATTACCTAGTCAAACAGGATTCCCATTTATAATACTCAGTATTTCTCTCTCGTTTAGATGGTGATTGTACAAGAACACCTTTTGGAATTGTCGAGAGAAATGGAATAGGTGTTCATACCACTCCTAATGGGATTATCTACACAGGAAACTGGAAAGATGACAAGGTATTGATGGTTTGAATACTGACAGTGGATAAGTAAACCTAGTAAGTGACTCCAGGTATTTCTCCATTAATCAAAAACACGAGTAGACTATACAACAAAAAACCAAATAGTTATCTATATATATAAAAGGCTAATATGCTAAGTGTCCGACCGTTTGACCATTTGACTGGTAGCTATGATGTGCACTGACCACTAAGGGGCAGACGCTCAATGCACTGGTATGGAAACATAGAACAGACTGATGAATCTCAGAGGGAAGGGGGTAGGGAGGAGGATGAGAAGAGATTAACCAACGATCTTTTTTTTTTTTCTTTTTTTTTGGGGGGGCATCGTCCCACATTCTGAAGAGTTGCTGGTTTGATTCCCAGTCAGGGTACATGCCCAGGTTTCGGTCTCAATCCCCTAACAGGGGCGTGTAAGAGGCAGCTGATTGATGTTGCACCCTCACATTAATATTTCCCTCTCTCTAAAAATCAATTTAAAAATCTTAAAAGAATAAAGTACAGAACAAAATTATTTCAGAATATTTTCTCTCAAATATCCCTTTGTACTTGTAATAATATATGGAGGTGCAATTTTATTCAAAATGTTTAATGGCTTATCAACCTACCAGGTGGCTTCTTGCTTTGAGGGTCATTAGGTGGCCATTTGGTCTTTTCTTTCTGACCTATCATTCATACAACTGTAGACATGTACCAGAATATTTTTAAATGATGAATATTAAAAATTTTAAAGACCTTTATAATATGTGAATTAACATGAGCTTATTAAAGACACTAGAGGCCCGTTGCAGGAAGATTCCTGCAAGAATAGGGCTTCCAGTGGCTGGAGCCAAGCAGAGAGGGGAGTGAAACCAGCTGAGGCAGGCTTGGCTCCCACTCCGAGCTGCTCCTGCTGGGTTTCCCCTCCCTCTCCCAGGCTCTGTGGCGGGTTTC